TTAAATAGGAAGCGCAGCAGGGTAATCAGATGTTTTCTTTCTTTTTTTTCGTCAGACTGGCATTTACTGTAATGATTGGCATTTGGTCTTATGCATCGGTAAGCTGCAGCGCGGCGTTGTCTTCAGCGGCTTATTATCATATTCCTCCCTCTGATGACTTTTGCTTGGGAATACATTGTCGTCTGACCCTTATTTTAGATTTGCAGAAAACTGTATGAAACTCGGGGGAGTGGGACAACCAAATGGGGAATTAATGGGAAAAAATGTCAGATCAACTCGTCAGCAACAGGCACGGCAGAATTCATTTTCCTCTGCAGGCTTCGTCTCATAGCAGGCATAAAGTGTGAAATTATCCCTGTCTTTAAAAAAAAGAAAAGAAAAAAAAAGGATCTCCTCTGGAAACTAAGTAAATTTTTTTGTTTGTTTGTTTTTGACAAAAAGTAATTTAAAGAAAAAAAAGATTGTAGGTGTTGGAGACAAATGTCTGCCTGGAATCTCTCCAGACACCTTCAAATTAACATTTTTAACATCTGTCACACCTCTGACCTTATAGCTTGATGATTGTGTCCCACGAGGCGCAGATGGAGACAAATACCTGGCAGAGCTAATGGGGTTCAACTAAAAAGAGATTCACACAATAAAACTGTCAGATTATTATGTATTTAACTTTATAACCTACTTGGATCCTTTTCACTAAAATAAGTTTTATGACGCCCTGGCAACCTTTCCAGGATGTTCCCAGCTGCCCAGTGATGGCGGAAGAGAGGCACTGACCCCTCCGCGACCCTGCAACAATAAGTGGATGTAGACAATAAGATGAAATTTAACGATTTATTTTCTTGTTGTGATTTTTCTTTCTTTCTGCTGCCTGTAGCTCTCAGGTCTCTTGAGAGCTGAACGGAAAGGAGAAGTAAATCATCATAAATGTGACAAAGCTCAAATAGTTTTTTCTTTAATGTAATGATTTAAAGTTTTTTAATTAATTAATGTGATTAAATGCACACATAAAAACACGTACATGCAACGTATACACACCAAAACACCTGCATGTCGGTGTGTCTGACGATACGACTGAACTCTATTTCATACAGATCAGAACAGCTGAAGTACCATGAGATTTTGTTTCACTCACTTTTATGAAGATTATTTATGTACAAATTGTATTATTATCTCAAATTGTGCAATATTCTTACATTGTCTAAGCCATTCCACAAGAACACTCCAGAAACTAAAATGAACAGGTTTTAAGAGTGCTGCAAAGGCATGTTTGCTTTAAATTGCATTTTCCTCTCAGGTCACACCTTGCTTCTATGTTCTTAAATAAATTTGGAACTTTCTTTGGAAGTGTAACGTTTCAAGTTTTGAACATATCCTGTGCAGTTTTAATGCAAATCCATAAAATTTGTAAGTTGTAATTTGAAAAGAAAAATTGGTTTGTTCAAGATATTAAACATCTTTGTTGCTCTTTTTTGTTGTTGTTGTTTGTGCATATTTTTTGTTGGGACCACTCTTCTTTCCAGACTGAAAACTGCAGCTGAATCTCACAGACAAGCCAAATGCCATCAGAAGAGGATTTTGTGGTCAGAAAAGACAAAGCCTGAACTCTCTGTCCCAAATAAGAAACAGATTGTTTAGATGACTTAAGGTGAGACTTTCAAATCTAAAAGTACCAAGTATTTACTGTTGTTGCAGCAGCGTCATGCGGAGTCAATTACAACAACTTCATGAATATTGATGAAGGACGAGAACGTCGGCACTCTTTAGCTTTATCTCAACCATCAACTGGATGATCTAAACTCTTTCACAACACTGTTTTGTCAAGTCGGCAAAGTTGAGCCACCTTTAATGTCTTCACTCATAAATCACACGTGAAACAGGCGAGTTTCAAACTTAACGCCAACAGTGATTGCCAGGGCTGACGTGGCTCTCTGGGAAAACATAATCGCCCCTAAGGCCTAGTAACTCGTTGCATCTGTAGCAACAAATGACATCATGTGTTTGCAAAGACTGGCAATGAGTCTTTGCCAGTCTTTGGCAAAGACTCATTACAAATTGTCAATACAAATTGTCCTTTGTATTAATCTTCAACTTCACGCACACTGGATGGTTTTCAAGTATGAGCAGGGTGGTTAAAGTGATACTGCAACATCTAAATCGGATTTACGTCCAAACTTTGGCTAGACCACTCCAAAACTCAAATTTGTCTTATAAGTCATTCTGAATTTTTTGCTGTGGTTCAGGTTGATTTGGATAGCACATTTTTCCCCTTAGTGAATGAAATCATCATTTAAAATGTCTTTCTGTATTTATTCAGGATCTTTGTCCAAAAAAATTTTATTAGGTTATATTTGACACGTAAATTGGAATTGTCAGTGCAGTATGTATAATTTTGACCCTCTGCTCATTACAGAAAATTCACAATAACATAAAACTCATGCACCCAATTTAAAAAACAAACAAACAAAAAAAATCATTAACCTAAATAAAAGGTTGAAAGAAATCATTGAAAGATTCACATTCAGCCTTATCTCTGTGATGGTCACATTGAGTTTTAGTTTCATTTTAGTTTCAAAGTGAAATTTCCCCCGAAAGGCAAATATCCCTAACTTTTTGTGAATTCTTTATATTCTGTTGCCACAGAACATATATGCTAAAAGTCCAGCTACTCTTATCTGTAACGTGCTGTTCCACCATCTTCCAGGTCATCAGCAGTGCATCCAGTACACAAGTGAGAACACCAGGAACTCTGGTGAAATATTTAATTGTCTTCAATAAGGACGATTGTAAAATTCCCTGATTCTCCAACGGTGCCATATTGGACAGGCAACATTGTTTGGTGTTTGACGCAGGCAGAAATAATGTGCCATCTCTTTCAGAGCAGCTGTAGTTTCACCAAAATTAAAATAAATTAATTGATGAATTAACAGAGAAAGTAAAAGCTATACACTAGCTCCTTTTTAACCAGAGATTTAATTTGAGAGGTTTTGCCCTTTGGAGCTATTTACTCATCAGATAACGAGGCAATAATGATTACACGATGCCGCATTTATGAAAACTTAGAACAGTCATTACAGGACACTGACACTACACAACCAGATGACCGGTTTTACTATTAGTGTTTCTGCCAAGCTAGAAATGCTATTTCAAAAAAGCTTATTTTTAAATAAATTTCAACTACTGAGCTTCTTTTCTCCACTGCGGAAATGATGGTAGTTGCTTCATGTAATTCCTGGTTTCCTTCTTACAAGGCAGGCTCTGTATTGACAGATCCTGTCTTTATCTAATTGTTCAGATCCTCATAAAGTATGAGGATAAACTGCTTAAGTTATTGTATTCTCTTCTTGTGGTTTGGTCCTTTTGGGTTTCTGGGTAATTTTAGGTTTGGACCTTTTCCATGTGGATGACATCTTAAGATTTACTGGAAAAACTTTGAGTGAGACTTATTGGAAGTCTCACTCAAAATATTATTGGAAACTATTCCTTAGGAATAGTACTAAAGTACTAAAAATAAGTACTAAATTAGTACTAAAAATAAATACATTTAATAGTTACTTAATTAGGTTCCCTTGTTCAGAATCAGCCAATCACACAGCAGCAACTCACTGCATTTAGACCCTTTTGAGAAGTTTCCTACAGCACCTCTGAAGAAAAAAGTTACAATATTTAACTTTTAATAATAATAATAATAATAATAATAATAATAATAATAAGAAGAAGAAGAAGAAGAAGAAGAAGAAGAAGAAGAAGAAGAAGAAGAAGAAGAAGAAGAAGAAGAAGAATTATTATTAGATTAGCCTTGACTGATTAACTTTGAAAGTTTTCATCCATTCTGTTTTTCATCACTGATTCTGACCACCGCTGATGAGTTGCATTAAATTTTTTAAACTAGTTAAACTCTCTATAATTAACTAATCAAAATCAGTGCATTAAATTTACATCCCTAATATATTCACAAAACACAAAATGAAAAAAATATGGATGTTTTCATTCAGCTGCCTGAATCCACAACATTTCCATAATGCGCCTTTAGGTGTCTGTTGATTTGAATTTTTATACTCCAGTCACTGTTCCTGCTTTTGAGTATTTCTTTAATGTATCATCTTTGAGATGGAAATCAGTCGTGACTCTCACTTATCCATAAAACATCTTATTGGTATGAATATATTTGTTTAGCAGGGCACCAGGGATAATTTAAATTGACCACAACATGCAGTCAGATAAAATGCTTAATGCACTTTAAGTGGTGAAGACATTGTGGATGTCTGTGTGATTTACTTTATATTCACACCCTGTAAGATAATTATGTTCCACAGCAACTTAATATTCAGTCTTATATTTCATTTCATTACCTTATGCTATTATGACTTTTAATAACAAAACAAACTATGATAATTAAGTTAGCATGGTTAATTTTTAATTTTTTTTTAATTTTTAATTTTTATTATTATTATTATTTTGTCTGACAGCTACAACAAATACCCAAATAAATACATAATGGAAAAAAAGTTTGCAATCTTTAATAAACTAAGGTGAAACCTGAAAATGAATTGATGAAAAGCATTTCGAATGGAGAAAAACTACTTTCTTGACATTTTAAACCCGATAAGGCATGCTAGTATAGGAAACTAATTGCTCTAATTTGCATCTGCACCTCAGCTGTTGTTAAACAAACGCAAGGACACTCAGCCAAACTTGTTTTCAGCAGCTAATTATCTGTACAATATTAATAAAACTGTCAATTGTATTCAACCAAACCTTCCTAATGACTACTTGTTTTGATTGCTGGATTTCAAAGGAAGCCACTTGTTGTGTCCATATTGTGTTACAAATCTGGACGAAAGGTCAGAGCCTATTGTGTCAGTGCACTATCAAAGAAGAAGAAGAAGAAAAAAAGGAAGCTCCAGACTTTGCTCTTTCTGGTGTATCTCCTCTTACTGGAGATTTCATATCCTCAGGCTCCAGACTGACCAGCTTGTTAAGTTAATGAGTTGTGTACTCTGCGCTGCAAATTAGATTGCTGATATCTCTTTGTGTGTCCAATGACGATAAAACTGGCCAGTCAGCTGGGTGTGTTGTGTTGGAGTTTGAACTCTGGACCTAAGCAGAGGAGCTGAGAAATATAGTGGGGAATCTTTAGAGGAACCGAAAGCTTGGATTTAAACGAAAGCAGCGAAGAAGCGTGGATATTTTGACGGGGATTCGGTAGTTTTGGAGATTTCACCCAAACATGGAATCCACAGAGTACTACCCAGAGCAGGTACGCAGATATATTGTTTTTCTACTATATATTTGGTCAGATAAATGTTGTTTTTCATTGGAAGGCCCCACAAAGGAAAAGCTCAAGCTCAAAGGGAGATTGAACTTTAATCGAAAACTGAAAAACATCTTCAGTTTTCCAAGTAATATCTATCAAATAATTTCATCAAAGAGATTCATAGATAAATGTAGACATCTGTAGAATAATACATCCATTATTTGTTTTTTTGTTTGTTTGTTTTGCTTCTATAAATACAAGACGACAAAAGACAAAATGTCCTGAAATGTTTAATTGCAGGGTTCTGACTGCTCAGAGCTGCTCGACTGGCTGTTTGATAAAAACGACGGAATCCTGCGTCACGAGGAAATAGGAGAGCATGGCATCCCTCCCAGCCTGCCATTTCAGGAGCCAAATGTTTGTGAGGCTGTTGCATCTCTAATTAACTCTACAAAAAAGCATGCTTCCATCGTTATATGCTGCCTAGATTTTGCCTTCAATACATTGTCTCATCTCTCTTTGTGTTATGTTGCCACAAGGACCACCTAACGCTAGCAGTTGGTTTTTATTATGTTTTTTTTCTTTTCTCTTACCAAACAGATGCCACAGCCAGCTGGACAAGCGGACGATGACTTTCTCAATGCCCTTCTGAGCGGCAGTGATTCTGTGTCAGCCTCACCGCTGTGGTCCCCATCGCCTAGTGACAGTGGGATCAGTGAGGACCCTCCATCGGACCAGATGGACAGTCCTCAGCGCCCTGAAAGCCCTCCAGACGCACACTTTTTTGGAGCAGCACTACGAGCCAAAGCAGTCCTAGAAGCAAATGTCTCCTCTGATCCAAGTAATTTTTGAATTCATGTTGATAAATTTGATACAATTTGTTTTGTTGATCTGATCTTTGTCTTTAATACACCACTAAATTCAAGAAGGGCATGTTAAGTAAATGAATTTCCTCTCACCAACAGCTAAAAAAAATTGTTTTTGAGGGCACTCTCCATTTTCATTGGCACCCCTGTTAAAGATGTATAAATGATGTTAAGTGATTTCTTCTTCTACTGCAGTTAAATAATCTCAGCACCTGCTTAGCATCTTCTTCACTGTGCATGATGGGAAAACTAAACATGGATGCTCATTGGTCTTGTTTGTAAAAGTTCCAGTTGTTTTAAACCTTTACAATTGTTTCTGTGGCTGTAGACGAGAGCGAAATTAGAAAAGTAGCCATATTGTTATTGAAACGGGAAATAGTGCAGCATTATATTTAAAATAGGAAGTTGTGAATTACCAAATAAAGCTCACTGAAATTGGACTTCTGGAAATGTCCATACATTTGTCATAAAATTTAAGTCAGTGATTTACCAAAGCTCCATGTGAGAACTGGCAAATTGGGACAGATGTTCAGGATATCATGAACTGCTGCTGCTGCTTACCAACCACATGGACAAAAGAAATAACCCTAAGCTTGACAGAAATTTGCACCTTTAAGAGAAAATTGTTATGGTCAGAGAAGACGGAAGTTGAGATGGTTGTCCACAGTGACCAGAAGAACATTTGGAGGAGTCAAAATGAGACTTGACACCTATGAAAACTAATAACAAAAAAGCTTAAATGAGTCTGGCACTGATACCACTTCTTAGATTCATCTTTTTTATATCACAAAAATATAAACACTCCTCTTATAAAACTGAAATATTGCACAGTAGTTGACAACATACCTGGGATAAGTACGTATTTTGGACCAATGGAATAAAACAGTGCATATTTCAAGCATTGAAGGTAATTTGTAACTCATGTATTGTTTAACCCAGGAAGACAAAACTACAGTGCTTGTGTCTTTTTTATGCATTTTTTTTACACCATATTTTCTCGTCTCTTGGCTGTCTGATCAATGTTTGCCTCTCTGTGTGGGAGCAGATGGCTGGGAGCTCGGCTTTCCAATGGGGAGAGCAAGAATCTCGCAGTATCTATCAGATGCACAGCGACCACCACTGTCATCTGGCTTCCCTCTGACTGTCAAGGATCTGCTGCTGTCTGGCACACCAGAGCCGGTAGGTGCAGCCGCGGGTCTGTTTGGCAGAGTCAGCGGAGTTGATACAGGTGGTACGGCGGGGAGGGGGTTTGGGCATCAAATTGCTGTTTGATTCTGACCTTGTTTAGGCTTTCTTCTGCACGATTGTGTACTTTGGCGGAAACAACCATTGGAACGCACATGATTCCCAAAGAAAGGCCTTTGGAATGCAAATTAGATCCCTGTTTTTATTCATGTTTTGTTGCTATTTTTGGAAGGATCTGCTGAATATGCAGCAAACACAGGGGCTGTTTTCAGAGGGGAGTTGTAACCCAAAGATCTGAGTTAGCTAGCATTGTGTGGAGGTCGATCTTTTCCTTGAGCCTCCTGAACGTGACAATCCCCTCATGACTCGACCTCATTTATTCGAGGAAACTTTTGCAGTTACGAAAAATCTGGTTTTTATAGAGGAAACGGTTTGTTGCGCCATCATCACACATTTCGCTCATTTCTTGTTAATGTCACCGAGTAGAGATCGGGCGCAGACAGAATACCTGTTTGCAAATCCAGAAGGTGCTCAGAGGAAACAGATTTCGGCTCATTCTGCGTGTTGATCTCATCTTCCCACCCCGGTTTAATAAGATGAAGGAGAGAGTGGCAGAATCCAGCTCAGATTCTCACACCATAATTGCTTTGAAGTGGCCATGAAATGAGGGTGATGAAAGTGGCCTGATACTCTGCACTCATTAAACTACTTCCTGTGAGCCTCTAGCGAGAGGGAGAGGTTTTGCAGATGGTGGGAGAAATGTAATCCTGCAGCAATTGTGATATTTATAACTTCTCTTTTTTTTTTCCTTCTGTTTTTATACGTTTTTACTGCCATCAGCCCCCGCAGCCAACCCCAAAGTCCATCCAAGAACTGATTCTCAACGATGATGAAAAGAAGCTTTTAGCCAAGGAGGGGGTCACCCTGCCCACCCAGCTGCCGCTCACAAAGGTAAATTGCTGTGAGTTACCTCACTCTTGAGTCCAGTCTGCTCGGGCCTGAAAATGTAAATATTGTGTCCTCTGTCATTCAGTATGAGGAAAGGATTCTGAAGAAAATACGCAGGAAGATTCGTAATAAGCAGTCTGCCCAGGAGAGCAGGAAGAAGAAGAAGGAGTATATTGATGGGCTGGAGAGCCGGTGAGGCGCCGAGTTACACGCCAGCAACAACATGAATGACAATGAGTTTTTTGTTTTTTTTTTTGAATCTTAATAAAAATAAAATAACATTTCTGAAATGATTAATTTATTATATTTATTATACTTTTATCACGTCTTAAAAGATTTTGTCTGTTTTTACTTAACGCAAATGTTGCATCATCAACATCATCATCATCGGCTCGGTTCGATGCTGACTTTTTTCCCCTCCCTAAGTTAAGTCTGGGGGGGGGGGAAATTATGTGTTAACCTTTAATACAGACAAACTAGACCTCTGGAGCGCTTCTTCACCAAACGTCAAGGCTAAGTTAAATCCAAAACATGACAGTAGTTCTTGGACCTATTACGACTCACTGCAGACCTTATCAAGTAAAGAGCAACGAGTTACAAGTTGAAGAGTCTGGGTCGAGTCGGGTAGGAAGGTTTCGATGGGGGGGATTCAAACGGAGAACAATTAGAGGACGGCTGCTGCTCTTTAGCATTTTCGGAAGAATTATTCACAGATATTTCCCGAATCAATCAGCTTTGAGGCCGTGAAGCTCCCTGAGAACAGTCAGCTTTGGGAGGACAAAGCACATCAGTCAAACTCCAGCACATTGAAACATGCATCCTAAATCAGGATGCGATTTAGCATTTCAACAGCTGTCTAGCTTGTCTGTAAAAAATGGAGGGAATTAATTTCAAGAATTTCAATCTGTCCCACCGCCACACACTTATTGGCAAAAATGTGCAGGCGAGGAAATAATAATTTTAAGCAAAATCCATCAAGGCACACTTGATATGCCTGGGGAATAAATATCACACAAAGAAGCCTGTTTCTCTTAACAGACAGCTGGAATGGGGAAAATAATACATAAAAACTAACCATTAGAATAACTTATTTCTATTATCTTTATCAACTCAGTTCGTTGTAGGTGTCAGGAACAATTTTTACAAAATCAAGACTTGACGAGAACCCAGTGAGGTTATTGTTTAGGAAAGGAAAACATATCCAAATCTCAATGTTATATTGGAAAATTTGACTAGATTTAAGTACGCAGTTCTTCTGGATTTATTTTTTTCTCGAAATGACCTGTCGTACTGTTTCCGTTAATTTCTCCCTCCAGCATGGCTACTTGCAGTGCCCACAACCAGGAGTTGCAAAGAAAGGTGTCCCAGCTGGAAAAATGCAACATGTGAGTGGTTTTTAAATTGAACTTCTATTTTCCAGCCCTTTCTTCTGCTCCAATTTGTTAGGACATTTGATTTCTCTGACTCTCTCTGGCCGTTCTCTTTGGGTTTCCTTTTTCCTTCTGTCTTTCTGTAGGTCTCTAATGGAGCAGCTCCGCAGGCTGCAAGCTCTGGTCATGAACTCATCCAACAAGCCAGTCCAGACTGGGACATGTGTACTGGTATGGCTTTCTCTAAACCGGAAAGCATAAATGCTCATAGCAACGACATGTGAACTGAAAAGCAACGTTTCCGTTTGAAGGAAAATGCACCGTATAAGCAAAAGTCAATTTGCCCACAACAGTGAAATAGGCCTCCACTTACAGAACTCTTTCACTGCTGAAAAACTACATCACACAATAGAAAACACGTACAGTATTATTCTCTCCAAAGCAGAAAAATATAAAAAACAAAACAGCATCATTTTCTATCTCTGTGCTCTTGTTTTCACTTTTTACTTTCCAGGTGCTTCTGCTGTCCTTCTGTTTGATCCTGGTCCCCAGTCTCAAGCCTTTCTCTGATTCGAAGGTCAGCCAAAGTGACTTCAGTCCAGTCAGAAGTGAGTTTAATAATCCAGCATGTTTCAATCGCAGCAGAGGACATTGTTAGAATCTCAGGCAAACAAAACGGCATGCTCTGTTACAATGACTTTCAAAGTTAGCCTGAACTTTCTTACGTTTCTTTGCGTAACAACCAAAAAGTTCAATGAATTTTACATGTGCTGTGTTCAATTTTGAAGAGGGAAGAACATTACACTTGGTTACGCATTGGAACATTTTCTTCATAAATAAAATCTAAAATGCATTAGCATTGTACTGTTCAAACCTGGAAACAAGCCATTTAAAAGAAACAGACAGGTCTGGTAAAGACTGCATTATTCAGAGAAGCGGCCAAAACCCACATGGTAACTCTGGAGGAGTTGGAGGGATTGACAGCTCAGGTGGGAAGAACTTGTTGCAAGGACATCGTTCAGCCGTGGATTTCACAAACCCGGCCGTCATAAGAGAGTGTCTGTATGAAAACCATTACAGAAGGGATGACATTAGAAGTACTACCTGCAGTTTTCATAGATGATGAGGGTACACTGCATGGGGTAAAATATAAATATGAGAAAGACCATGCAGGGTGTGCACAGCAGCCAGCCAGTTCCTGTCCTGGAGGTGGCAGTAACATCAGCTGGACCTTATGGCGTTTAGCATTTCATGGAGGAAAGACCTCTAACAAAAGAGAGGCCGGGGTAAAAAAGGATCAGACTTGATTTTCCTTACCATCCTTTTCACCCTGGAAAAATTTTATTGTATTTTACTTTTTTAACAGTGCTTTCAGAATCTGTTACAGTAGAAAGTCTTAAAACTTTTAAAGCCTTTGATGTCTCAAGATGGCGTTTTACATGCTCGCAACTTTGCGCCAAGGCAAACGCGCTCACACGCTCGTCAACCACAGTCCACGGTTATGAAAGCATAATAACAAGCAGGGCCCCAAAGAGGCTTAACCTTATTTATTTCTTCCTCTGTCTCCTCTTCCTCCAGTCCAGTCACGGTCCCTACAGAACCTCCAGGCTTCCCGTGTGATGGGTGTTATCGACCCGTCTTTCCCTGCCGAGGATGAATCAGACCCACTGAACCAGCGTTTCCCCCAGGAGCGGGGATTGGGAGACATCACAGACCTGACAATGAAGAAGAAGCTTCCGGAAGAACAGGAACAGCCCGGCTTGGACTCCGTGTCTCTGAATAGCAGTCAGGAAGATGGAAGCAGTCATTTCCATGTAGACCCAATTACCGGCAACATAGCTACTGTGACTCTGAATCCCCATCGCACCACTGGGCTACAACCCCATGCCGACGACATGTAAGAAATGACAAAATCTGCCCTGATTAAATCAGTCCTGCTAATGATAAGGGAGAGAATTGTCATGGACTTTTGTTTACACAGACGGGGAAATTTACTCTTGATCCTTCCTGTTTTACCCTTGAAACATACAGTGGTTCTCAAAAGTCATCTCACCCGTAAAACTCCTAAAACATTGTCGACGAATCGATTCAAGCCAAGGGAGTTGTAGGATTACTTCTTCGCCACAAGCATGAGTGGCTGCGTTTCCTTCTGGTGCCAGGATGAAATGAACGGGTTTAGTGTAAAAAATGTCAGTTTTAGAAACACAGAGCTACAGAAACTCTGTGGGGGTCGTTGAAGAGGTGTTGCGGACAAAAGAAGTCCTACAATACAACAGATTTAGAGAACTTTGCAAGGTGGAGTAGGCCGGTATTGCCACGTCAAGATGTATCAAGGCAATGGACCGTAGAAGACAGAGCGCTGAAATTCTGATTTCAGCTTCAAGGATTAGTTTGAAGGTTTTCTCATTCAAGCAGTAGTTGCTGAAAATATTTTGAATTTTATTTTATTTTTTCCTTTTCGTCTCGTCCTTTTACTTAAAAAAAAGTAAGACATTTGAACGGGGGTGCCTAAGACTTTTTATATCCACTGTATTTAGTGTTTTTTTTTTTCTTATTTGTCTTTTTTTTTTATTTGAAAGAGGATATTAATCTTACATGGATGTGATTGACGTGACTCGCTTATGTCTTTGACAAACACTTCAATATGAATATGTCTCAGTAAATGAACGAGTGTCGCCACATGGTTTTGTAAAATATTGATTCAAACAGCTAATTTTTTGAAGCTACGGGTCAGTTTTGTTATCCGTTTGTTAAAAAATAGATAGCAACAGCTTAGATTCAGCTGCGAGCGAATTTGCATCAGATTAGAAGCGGAAAAGCAATGTGATTGTTTTTGAAATGCTCTGATGAAAATTTGTTTTGTTAATTAAAAAAAAAAGTCGCTCTGAGCGTGCGGTGCTGCATTTCTCTCTGTCGTGTCTGAGTTCTGCCTTTAAAAGATCTTATTTCTAGACAGGCAGTCACTCAAAGGGCAAACCCAGAAAGGATGAGTGGGAGAGACGGACAGAAAACTGGGCCAAAGGTGGGACAGACGACCTCTTATCTAATGAGTCAGACTTTGCACTCCCTGAGTGATATGTTGACATATTTGCTTTTTGGAGGAAGGTGGTTTCCAGGGCTTCCACATGTAATCTGACCCGTCTTCGCTAACCACACAGTGATGGGATGAAAGGGTTCTTCCCTTCACTGCCACTTTGGTCACAATTCAATATGACACACTGACATTTTCAGCATCCGGGTTGACTTAGCTTCAAGGAAGCAAGCCCGTGTTTAATATGCGGCTCCACTGTGTAAACTGTACGTGTTACTGAATTAAATAAAAACAGGTCGATCCCTTTTGATATTTTGCATTTTAAGAAATAAAGGAGTTGACAGACTGTAATGATACATAAAGAAGGACAGAGTAATACTGAAGACAAAATGAATAAAATCATTTCAGATCTTCTTGACACCCATCAGGGTCTAAATTTAAATTTTACTGATAAATGTCGTGACACCGAGGTCACTGAACTGTGAGCATGCAAATAAAAAGTCCATATTAACTGTATTTATCTACTTGGTAATAAAAAACCTTGCAAAGGTGTTATCCCCTTCATTTTTAATTGTGATAAACCAGCACCAGGTTTCACAAATGTGCAAAGTCAAAGTAAAATGACTCAGTATTTCAACACTTTTTTTTTTTACAAAGAAAAATCTGGAAAGTGTGGCATGCATTCACATTTAATTTTCTGTACTTTAATATTCCCCGAATATAATCCGATGCAAATGGCTCAACTTGCTAGAAAACTGAGTAAAACTAGTGCAACTTGGTCTTAGTAGAAATAGAAATAGAATCTGTGAATTCTTCAGAGGTTTGGTAGAAAACTTTAGTGAACACTGTTCAGTCTGCTAAATGAAAATGAGAAGAGCAAATCACAACTGCAAATCTACCAAGACACGACATTCTACCTAATCTGTCTTAGCCTGGCAAAGACCAAACTAAACTTTGCTTCGCACAGAAGTGTCTGGGCTCTCGGCTGCTCATAAACAATTGCTTCCTGGAGGCGTAGACTCTTTTGAGGTATTACATTTTACCCAACAGCTAACTTTACCCGTGATGTATGTAATGTGCCAGCTATGAAATCGCCTGCGTCCTCCACTGTGAAGAGAGAAGTGCTGATCTGAACATGGCTGTTAATGTTAATTCAACATTTGGAAGTGTGGCCAAGATGAACTGAATGATTTTGTTCATTTCTTCCACTACTGTTGCTAAAACTACAAGAAGACTACAGTTCCAAAACGGAAAATCAGTGTCATTGTTTACAACTTTTCCTTCCGTTCGCTCAGTGGCCTGGTTGAAATTCTACAGGAGAAATCATTGGGAGAAATCCCAGATGCAGCAGTGTAACAAGATTAGAACCAAGCACATTCGGAAGGCGATGGCCAGGATGAAACCGACTGGTCAGGTAAGAAAAAAACAAAAAAAACAATCAGAGGATTCCAGCTCAAGTGAAAGAATCTAGTGTACAACTATCACAAATCAGGCCTCTGGAAGAGTGATAAGAAGAAAGACAGTGTTATAATAAAACCAAAAATTTCCTGTCTTCAGAACAGGAAGTAGATCACTATGGTTTGGGCTTAACCTGCTCAAGGTCAGGATAGTTAGCAAGTTAATTAGCTCCCCTTTTTATCCTAAACAACACTTTGTCAACCACGGATCACATCAGATTCTTAGGATCCAGAGAACTGGTCTGTATTGATAAAACAGTAGATTAAAGGATAATACTAAGAAAACCAGTTAAGAGACAGAAAAAAAAATTGAAATTAGGGCAGAAATTCGCATTCTAGCAGAGAAGCAAATGTAAACACACAGTAAGAGCGTAGACCGAAAGGTTTATAAAAACAGAATCTTCTGTTGAAGTGTTATGCCAGAAGTATATGGTGCTGTACTTACCTTGTAATAACTCTAGAATATAACAAAAAAAAAAAAACTAAAGCTGCTAATTACACTTCTTTACTTCTAAGCTAAACCTTTCCTTTCCACCCACTTTGTTAGCATTGCAGATGCGTTCATACACACCACAAAAATATTCATTATGACAAACAGACAGGGAGCCTCATCAGCTATTCCAGACATACAGCAAACAAAACACTTTGATTTCCACAACAGACTCTTTGCACCACGTCCTGCCGCCGTACGCGTTACCCAAGAGCCAGGAGTGAATATTTCCAGTTGTCAGAACAAACCTCCAGCAGAGAGTCTCCTGCTGGGAAGCCGGTGTGTGTGAACCGCAACCACAGAGCATGTCTGGGTTTAATTCCTGGCACATTTACCGGCAAATCTCTTGTGATTTTCCTGCGATAATGTAGCATGTAATTGGTGTTGTGACACATATTTAAAGAAAAATAAAAAAAAGAGTGAGCTGTGTTTAACTTCACCAAGTTGAATCGATTGACAAAAATTGTCTTAAACTGTCTTAAACGCTTTGGCCGTCTTACTAGTTCGAATGGGTTCTCAGTCAGTCGATTAGGAAAACGACGTCTTGTGATCATTTCTCTCTTCTTGTTATTCTTCATGTTGACATTGACGTGGAAGCGTCAGCAAGTCAGTCAGACATTTTGCTCTAAAGTCTGACTGATGAATCATCTCAAGGTTTTCGTACCTTCCTCCATTGTTATATTATTTTTTTTTTTGGGTGACATTCAACACCACTTTGCCTCAGATGCCATTCAAACAAACGGTTCTTTTATTCTACTGACTATTCTCACAGTAAAAAATAAATAAAAATACTTCAGTTTAAACCTTCAGAAGAAGTGATAAGCAATTACTGTGCTTGCTGACTCGTTCTCTCTCTCTCTCTTGTCTCTCCCTCTTTTGTTTTACTCTTCCCTGCTCGGTCTGTAATCAGGGTGAATGTCTCTCCGCCAATTGCTTCTCTAATCAGGACCCTGAACCATCTCTTTGATTAGCGATGTTTCAGGTTAGCCGAGAGGGATCCCGCTGAGATCGGTTAGTCAAGAGTGAACGTTTGGGGTCGCTCTCCCAATGCCAATCAAAGTGACCCCTAATCTTCTTTTTTAATCTACTAATTGACTTTTTTTTGTCATGGTGCAGCTCTGAAATAGACAGGGATTTTTATTTATTTATTTTTTTTTTGTATTTACCAAATTATTATTTCTTCAATAAAGAAAGAAGGAGATGAATCCACTAAGCATCTCTATTACTAATTTTTTTGTCAACTTTTGTTTTCCAGGAGTCTGAAACATTTTTAAGTTAAACTTATTCTACCGTCTCTTTAATTGGTTAAGAGACGAGGATCCAGTCCACTAACAGTTTCACATTCGGGCATGCAAATTACTCTTAACTCACATTTATATGTCACATAAAAGAATAAAATAAAAAAAGAGAGTAATGGATCAAAAGTGTTTCTTAATGAAGCTCTGTGAAGAATGCTTTATTGCACATTGGGTTGAGGGAGCTCATTGCATGCATAAGTAGCACTAAAGTAGACAGTAGTTTAACTCAACACTATATAAGAAATGCAAAGATTTCAGAGGAAGATCTACTGTCGAGAAGCCTCATTTATTTGAGGTAATTTAAGGCCAACTTTGTCTTTGTTCTGCCCTAAACTTCAGGTGGTGTCGGAGTCTCTGAGCCCTGCAGTTGTTCACTGAGAAACACTCCCACCTCAGCCGGACCGTGTTACAAGCTTCTCACAATAGTTGGAATTTGGCCCATTGATCCAAACAGAACTGGTGTGACTAGGTCATGTTTACAGGCCTTCTTGATCACAGAAATACTTTTTTGTGAAGTAAAACCAGTGAATCCTGTAGCAAGAAATTCACAAACCATGATGATGTACGTCTCAGATCAGGTGTTGTTTCTCAGACTTCCTGCTGCTTTTAAGTTCAAACGTAACCAAGGTCATTATGGGCTGAACACTTTGACTTTTATTTCATCACACCTCCAGGGAAAAATAAAAAACACTTTTCCCATCAGTGCAGGTGCAAAGTGTAAAACTGTTGTTTTGTTTTGCTTCTTGGACAATGGCTTCTTCCTCGCGAGTGGCTTTTCAATTCACATGGGACTTGTTTCACTGTGGATAATTTCACTCTCGGAAAGAAAAAGAACATCACAAAATTCTCTTTTTAAATAAACCAATTACTTTTTTATGCAATATATTTCCACCTCTGCTGCCCAGCTCAGGAAATTGTCATCGACATTGTCTGTAGGTAGATTGTCTTAAAATGAAGGTTTCCATGTTCACCGTGAAGCTGGAGGAGATAATGTCATTAATCAAGTAGATACTTTATAAAGGTTCACTCTTAATGCAATCTCCTTATAAACAATGACTGCTAAGCAGCTTTAAGCTTGAAGAAATTAGATGATAAGAATGCATTTCCACCCCATCAGAGTGAATTTATGCAGTGCATAACGTAATATATGTACATTTTAAGTGTTCTGAAACTCTGCAGAAATACGGAAATGAGACGGACCTTTTGACCATTGATCATGTATTGTTTGGTGAGCTTGATCAATTGGATGGAAAACGGCAAGAATTTAATTAAACGTTCATCTTAATGATAAAATCAATGGGGGGAATAAGAACAAAGGTGGATGCTTCTTTAATGAAAAGGAATGGAAGAAATTTCGATGGAAAAAGTGCCACTAGAAAACTTTTTAAGATCCCACACGTTTATTGGATCCCCTTGATTAAAGATAAAATCCCAGCACATGAGCCGTTGTTATAAATCTTATTTAAATCTGTCTGACAGTGGAAGTCAAATCGCTGCAGACAAACATCTTCGAAACTGAACGAACACTTGGCTGTGCTCCGAACGACTTTCAGCTTTACCTTGACCGACTCAAAGAAGAACTTCAAATGAGGACAAAACTGTCATGAGCCAATTGATTTATAATAACAGGCCATTTAACAGTGATTACACGTGAAAAATCACAAGTGACAGCATACATACCTATCACCGACAAACTGTTGCCACAGTCACCTCCCTGTTAAATTTGACAGAATTAACCTTGACACGACATATTCCTCGAGATCAAAATAGAAGCTCTTAAAACGTGAAATGTTTTAAAAGCTCGCGTTAACCTGGGATAGAGCCATTTGAATGAGCCACGAGGGCGCAGATGCTGTGGCAGTGTCTGAATGTCACCACAATTACCGCTGCCTGTGATCAGCGTGTCTAAACTGCTTCCAGGGCGAGAGCACCGTCACCCTTCAGCAGAGCAAACAACTCACCATGAGGAGGAAACATTTAGAGTCAGCTCTGGAGCCAGGCAGCTCAGCAACGTGTTCCCTGAATTTAGGTGCCCTGCAGAGTCGAGGCCACAAGCTTTACACTTTTTGGTTTTTTTGGGGGTTTTTTTTGTTTTTTTTGCTGCACTGTTGTTTGCTATGGCATACTGAAGTTCACTAACAAACATTTTACTGCTATGAAAGGCTTGTGTGCATCAAGATTATACACAATATAAAGACTCAACTTTTTTTTTTTTTTTTTTTTGTAATTTGCATTGACATAATGGATATCACCTTCTGGAGTGAATCCCTACCGATGGTGACCCATTTTTGCTTTGTTAGTGTTTGGAGGTGGTCAAAATGTTTTGTCCACTTGTTGTTTGGTCGCTTAGTAAACTAAAACCCTAACAAGATGTTAATAAAAATATTACTACAACCTCCGTGTAAGAGTAATATTTAATTAAGTTTTAGGAGGTAGTCATGGACACCAAAAGAATGATTTAAAGCACTACTTTGTAAACTCAATTTTTTTTTTTTTTACTGTTTCAATCTGTATGACAGTGATATTAAGACTAACATTTATTTAAATGACACTGCAGTTAATATTGTGAAGGAACTAGAACACAGGAAAAAAAAACGTTTTTTCTTCTAAAAGTCATTTGATTTACTTCTCTGATCATTTTATATGAAATAGTATCAAGAAACAATTAAACAGTCCAATTAAATTATCTGTGTTTTCTATCAGGTCAGATCACAGCATCTGCTTTCTGTATTTATATTTGCTATTACCGATCCAGAAAAACCTGACCTGTAAGCAAATCGAAGGTACTTATGTGGATTTTAGTGACAGTTTTTGCTATGCTTTGAGTTTAATCACAGCGCAAAGAAAGTGAAATTACAAGGTAACAAACTCCACCGATTCACATAAGTAGGTCTGAAAACACTGTAAGATGGTTTAATCCTCTGAGTGTTGATGGAGCCGCTTGGAGATAGCTCTTTTTCTGATTCAACATGACTGTGCTCCAACTTCTGGAAGAAGGTGTACAATTTCTTACAAAAAAAAAGGTTTTGCCACAAGGTTTAAACCTTGTGGAAAAACCTTCCTGGAACAGTGTTGAAACAAATTGGAATGTCACTCAAGTTCGTGTGAAAGCAGACAAGTGGCTACTTTTGGCATTATAGGTCATAGCATCTTTATTCCCTTTTAAGAAAGGATGTGTAGTGAGCAGGTCTCGTATATCAGACCTTGATTCTTGTGTAATTTAAAGTAGTAAGCATTATCTTTGTTCATTAAACTTAGATGAAGCCTAGGCATGAATGCAGTGAGTGTTGCTGGAGGTGAGTGTCAAAAGAGAAACACACTTAAAACAACATAGATGAAGGCTTTGTTAAATGTGCCACTCCAGAACCTGATACTCCCAACAGCGCTGGAACTGAACCTTGATTAAAAAAAAAAATAATGATAAAACATGTGTCACAGAATTTCTTCCAGCCTTTACAAATACCTATAGAGTATTTATACAAATACAGGCATCAGCAAGGCATGTAACAGCATCTGAAGAACATTTAACGATAGAAGTGTTATGGAGTCACATTAAACGGAGCTGTCGCCTTCGCTGAATTAAACAAGGCGAAGCAATTTGAGAAGCAAATCCAATTAAAGACATCTTAAAGGGTTTCGAACACACACACACACACCTACACACACACACCCCCACACACACACGCACACACACACACACAAATGCAACTTTGCAGAAGCAAAATTTGTAAATGTGTGCATTTTAAATTGTTATTTAAGCAGGGGTGCCTTGCAGTTGTGGCTGGAGATGTTTGACAGCAAAATTGTGTGCTTAAAGTACAGCCCACGTCAAATATTTGCCTAGCAGATGACAATCTGAAATTGTTCCTATTTCCGCTGTGGAATACTAATGATTCCCAAGGTGATCCCGACTGCCCAAAGCCAGCTTGGCTGCTCTGAGTATTCAGCTGCTCCTTTTGCTTGACATTGAACATTTTTTGTTTTGTTTTTTTACATTAACATTTTCTCAGCGTTCTCTTACACATAAGCTGCTTTAAACTATTCCGTCATTTTGGGGGCTGCAGCAATTGTGAGACCTATCAGCGTATAACACTTAAGGTGTAGAGGGGCTGATATTGAGCTCTATCAGATTTTTCTGCGTTCTGTGAACTGATGCAGATGGGCTCGGGTTTAACCTGCGTTTTGAATATTTATGCTCACAGCATGACCTGATCAAGTGCCCATCTGTTTGCAGCTGACATGTTCATTCTGAACAGCCAAACCACTTCGTTGTTATTTCAGCTATTTGAACCCGCAGACACGTCAGCGCACATCATCTCACTCAAAGTCTTTGTTTCAAATAATTAGGTGCTTCCTCACAAACTATTTTTGTGTGGCTTATGTTAATTGTATGTGCCAGAGCAATAAAAATAAAGTGGCAACATTTTCAAAGCAGTCTCTGTGAGGCGAGGCTGATGCCGTAACCAACTTTGCATTTTTCCAAAAGAGCTCCCAATCAGTCAGTCCTGATCAGTCAGATGGAGCGGGGAGTGTCTGTGAAGAGCAATGTTCTAACCTTGCCACACATTGTGAATTGTATTGTAAGTAAGTACTTTTGCAAGTCACTATAGCTGTGACAGAAAAACTTTAAATTCAGGTACTGGTTTGGAACTCAGGTAATTTTGCATATGGACAAAGTGATCACTTACTTGTGCTCCAGTGTGTATTGCTTCAGAAATTTAAAAAGGCTTAGTATGTAACTTGTAAAACATCACTTGCTACTTCCGCCCAGTGTGTGCAGATTTATTCATCACCACAGATTAGAATGTTTTAAATTTTAAACCAGGCCTACTGTCACTGCTGCCTGAGCATTTAGCAGTTTAGCGGTTGTTAAGATGACAACAAGTGGGTTGCAATGGATTAAAAGTGGGCAGATTCAGTTTTTTCCCTCTCTCTCTTCCATCCTTTCGATTTGTTCAGAGTTTTTTCAGTGAAGGATTATAAGGGCGGTAAATATAGTTGTTGAAATGCCTTGCAAACTTATTATTACCCTTCAAACCCTTTTCATATTTTTATGTTGACATTTTTTGATGTAGCCACAATGTAGTCCATTACAAAGAAATAATATATACATATATATATATATATATATATATATATATATATATATATATATTTGTGAGTTTTTTCATAAATATCTGAAATGCTTTGTGTATTAGTATTGTCCTCTTCGTGCTGATATCCCACGATAAATTGCAGTGCAAGCAAATTACTGTCAGAATTCCCCTAATTTCTAAATAAAGTGTATTTAGGAAGTTAATATATTAATTAATTTAGAAACGGGTGCAGGTCCTCACTCAGACCTCACCTTTCCCCAGCAGCCTCTCTATTACACTCTGCTTGCCCACGCTTGTAATTATCCATTAATCCCTCCAGAACGTGACCTTTGGAGCTGTTCAGGAAATAAAACATATTTCCCCCTTTGGTAACTTTGTTTCACCATGCAAAAACGCATGAAAAGCTCGTTTTATTATTTAAATTTTGGCACATTTTGTAATAAACATATAACGTCATAGAATTGAATAGGCGCAAAGATGCAAAGAACAATAAACCAAACCTAAATATAACCGGTTTGTTTCCAAACCGGTGACGTTCGTTTAATTTTTAATCTATCTATCTCGCTGGTGTGTGTGTTCATGGATTTCAATTTTTGTCATTTGTAAATTTTTTAAAATCTCAAAAATTGTCAGCTGTGTTTTCTCAAAAAATAAAAATAAAATAAAATAAATTAATTAAAAAACAGTTTTTGCGGGTTCCTATTCTGGTTTCAGTAAAAGCGAGTCTGCTCGGTGCTGCCATCATCCTGAAGTTCAAATTTGGTTGAAAGCAAACCAGGGTGTACCGTCCATATGGTACCGTCTAGTTACAAATCCCACCCTAACTTCAACCCTCGATATGTTTTGTGTTATGTATCCAATATGTGGTTTTATTTGTTGATTGATCTATTGCACATTCGCCTCGGAATTTCTGTTCGTTTCTGTTTCATTTTTGTCATATAACCAGGTTAGTAAGTTTTGTACATTTTTAATCTCATAGTTTTAAAGTATGAATAACATATTGTTTTTTTTTTGTTTTGTTTTGTTTTCTAGCGACAATCTGTGTTGATATAGAGGACATTTTATTTTTCAATAATTACCCGGGGACTTAATGCATTTGCGCAAGTGCTCAGAAAGAAAAAAAAAACTTGTACATTTCTATTCTTTTCTTCCTTTCTTTTTAAACTCGTTCCTGTTTAAAAAACATATAGATCTAGCGAAGGATATTCAATAGTGTCCAACTCTCCTCTTCTTTGAGACTCGGATGTAGCAGAAATCGGAGGATGGATTTCTTCCAGTCGTCTCGCTCCGAGATGGGGACCGTGCGCGTTCATGTGGCAGCTATAAACGGCCGCGACGCGCTCCGAGCTGCGAGTAGTCAGACAGAAAGAGATGAGAGGGGGAGAGCCGCGGCAGCGGACTGCATCTGCGTTTGGTCCGAGCGTGGGCACAAGCTAATGCAACAGGGACGCTTCAAATGCCTCAAATGCAAACTTTCTCGCCCGTGTTTGCAGCTTCCTGATTTTTTGTGGACATATGAGAAGAAAAGTGCAACCATGCCACTGAATGAGACTGAAGTCCAAACACTGGCCCCAGAGCCATGTGAGCAGCAGATGCTCCAGGAGGACAACCCTGGAGGTGGGAGCGGGGGTTCAGCCACCAGCAACCTGTCGCTGCACTGCTGGCTGCAGCTCCTCACCAGGGAATCCATCATGGAACTACAAGGGGACAGCTCCAGCTTGGTGGTGCGTGTGATGATAGCGTGTGTGTACTCCATAGTCTGCGCTCTGGGCTTGGTGGGGAACTCGCTGGCTCTGTATCTGCTCCACTCCCGCCACAGGCAGAAGCAGTCGTCCATAAACTGCTTTGTGATGGGGCTGGCTATCACAGACCTGCAGTTCGTTCTGACTTTACCCTTCTGGGCGGTGGACACGGCGCTGGACTTCCGCTGGCCTTTTGGCCGGGTCATGTGCAAAATCATCAGCTCCGTCACCACCATGAACATGTACGCCAGCGTGTTTTTTCTGACGGCGATGAGCGTGGCGAGGTACTACACCATCTCCTCGGCTCTGAAGATGCACAGTCGGAGGGCGGCCGCGTCCAGGGCGAAGTGGACCAGCCTTGGCATCTGGGCCGTCTCTCTGCTGGCTACTTTGCCACATGCCATCTACTCCACCAGCGCAGAGGTGTCGGATGAGGAGCTGTGCCTGGTCCGCTTTCCGGACTCTGGCAGATGGGATCCACAGCTTCTTTTGGGTCTGTACCAACTACAAAAGGTCCTGCTGGGGTTCCTTATTCCTCTGATCATAATTACTGTCTGCTACCTGCTCCTGCTGCGAGTCATCCTCAGCCGTCGCATCACCGGAGCAGCTGATCCAGAGGCCAAACAAGGCCGTCTGAACCGGCGCTCCAAAGTCACCAAATCAATTGTCATAGTGGTTCTGTCTTTCTTTCTGTGCTGGCTGCCCAATCAGGCTCTCACGCTCTGGGGGGTCCTTATAAAGTTTGACCTTGTTCCATTTAGCAAGGCATTCTATAACGTGCAGGCCTACGCCTTCCCGCTGACCGTGTGCCTGGCGCACACCAACAGCTGCCTCAACCCTGTGCTCTACTGCCTGATTCGCCAGGAGTTTCGGGCAGGACTCAAGGAGCTCCTCCTCCGCGCTACGCCGTCCTTCAGGAGCTTGACTCACCTGCTGCATCGCAAGACCAAAGTGGCTGAGGCGCCAACCGTACTGGTTCTGGTTCCAATGGATGTCTGAGCACCACGGCCTGTTTTGGATGTGAGGAAGCGAGAGCAGCTAACTCAGAGAGCGTGCTTTTCGTATTGATCCAGAGCAGCTTGCTGAGGGACGGAAAGTTATTCTAGCCTTTTCCAAAACGTGACAAAAAAAAAAAGAAAAAAAAGAAAAATCTCATTTCTCTTTGGTTGTTGGAAATGACATAATCACAGTGGATAGCACTGTGGGTTGTGTACCAATTTCTCACATCCAGAACAACAGACTCTATTCTGTTGTTCCGGTTGCTCTCCCTCCCACTGTATGTGAGAGGGAGCCTCGCTCTTT